TCTTATATCTGTATACAGATAGGAAAGTAAAAAGTTGTTCTTTATAAAAAGTCGAGCATGGTCTAAAACCCAAAATACAACCATCAAATATTAAATTTTATCAGTCGTATATAGAATAAAGGTATTTTACTTTGAGTAAAATTCATATTTTTTGACAAACCTTGTATACGGCTCAAAAAATTTGATATCTGATGATTGTATTTCAAGTTTTAGACCATAAAGAATTTTTTATAATAAATTACTTTTTCTCATAAATCTAAGAATAAAAATGTTTTCCATATGGTTCCGACTTAATTAATATTAGAAATGTGGCTCCGTCAAATATTTCGCTTTTCAAAAAAGGTTCCGTCGGCAAAAAAGGTTGAGAGACACTAGTCTAGTTAATTAATTGATAATTTATATACTTACGTTGTGATAATGTTAATTTCTGATAAACCAGGATTCGATACAAAGTTTGGTACAAATTTTTGTGTGAAATAAAACTCATTATATTTAACTTATTTATTTTATCCTCAAATAAAATAGCGATACCATTACTTAAATTAGGGAATGAGAAATTATATTTCTCACCAAGTCCCCACATGTGTCCCGCCCAAATAAACAGGCCACTCGTCATTAAATATATACTGTTGAAGAATTATTGAGGATATACAGCAGACGTTCTCAGAATTGCACTATCTTTAATAATTCTTTGTTTCGTCGTTTCTTTTTTTTTATAGGTGCGCTTACTGAGATACATTCGTTGTAATAACAGACGGATATCCCTTATGTTTCTGACTTTTTTATATTGTTGTTGATACGTGGAAGTGTTGCTGATTTGGAAATATTAAAGGGGCATCGAGGCGTTGAGCGTCGGAATGTAGAGCGGCGAGTCGTAGAGATGGTGTCGGGCCGCAGAGCGTCGTGACGTAGAAAGGTAGGGAAGTAGAGATGTAGAGCGTCGAATGGAATATAGCTCATCGGGACGTAGAACGTCGGATAAAAGAGATTATGTCGGGACGTATAGCGAAGAGACGTGACAACGTTCGGGAGGTAGGTCGTCGGGACGGATATGTGTTGGGTATGTAGAAAGATAGGGAAGTAGGACGTTGGGCGTCAGAAGGAATATAAGGTATGGAATACTTAGGTAGTGCAGGACGTGACAGCGTTCAGGGGCTAGGGGGTATTGTAACATAGACGTAGGTTAGGAAGAGCGTCGATTTAGGAAAGGAACTGAATAGTGAACTTGAATTATATTATATTATTTCTTAATGCATTTTTCATAAACGAATCTCGAGTTCCTAGGGATCGGGCCTTTATACCCGATTTAATGACTTTGTGACGTCAACCTATGGTAACTCGGGTAAGAACGAATTTGGGAGGATAGAAAAGGGGTGGTCGATTTATTACTAGTCTTGAAGATTTGTGTGTCGAAAACAATGTTCCTATTCAAAACTGACTTAAGATAAGTGTTTCAATATTACTTCGTGACAAAATTTATGATGTATATTGGTTTCGGGTTGGGTTCCCAAACACTTGCAAGAAAATTGGATCTCTTACGGGCAAGGGTTATAGATATTATTTATTAGGTGTCGTAAATAAAATTTAATTATCTGGAAGATTTGTCGTTAAATAAAGAATTTTGAATTTAATAAGAATGCAATATTTTCTTTAATAAATGAAATTAATAAATTATGAAGGTACCTGGGTGCGGTAAGTTACAACACCCTATATATGACATAGTAAACGAATGAAATTGCAAAATATCTTTAGTAACGAAAAACAATCAAATCAGTAATGTGTGACTACCTACAGGGTGTTTTCTTTAAAAAAGTAGTCATTTATTGACTACCATGTATATTTGAGAGTAATTATAAAATATCATACTTTTGTTTCGCTTACCTCCAATAAAAGAGCATTTCACCTTTGGGGTTCGGGGATGATCTTAATAATTCGTAGGGGATATTTGAGATGTGTCCGAATATTCAAATTATTTAGCAACTTATTTCAGATATTTCTGATTTTTCGGATTTTGATCTATGATATATTAATTTAACAATTTTTAAAAAATAATTGCTTGGCAACCCTATAATATTTTTTCCAAATATTCAAGGGTTAAATACAGAATTACCTAACTATTCTAAAAATGAAATGAAATAAAATAAAGTGTTCCATTTAAAAAAATTACGTTTTTAATTGCCAGGCAAAAGCATAATACCCTGTACATATAAAAATATTTTTAAAATATGCCTTTTTCAAATCCATAAAACTTTTATTTGAAACTTGTTTGTGTGTCTATAATACAAATTGAAATATCGAGCAATTGCCCACTAATGGGACACCCTGTATATCATTGACCATGTCAAAGCCCTTAGGCAGCCATTTTGTTTAAATCACATATCAAATGAATTACCTAACCTCAAAAGATTTTTAAACTAGGTCTTTTTTGCATTATTACTATTTTAATGGTTATAGGGGTCAATTCTGTAAAAATTTGGTTAAAATGTTATTTATAATTTTGTATTCTGAATTATTTTTTCAATGATTTAGTAATGATTATGTTAAATATTTTCTTTTTTTTTTTATTTTTAATGCTGCGTTGGGCTTAATTTCAATTTACTTTTAGGTATATTACATCGTTGCCATGTCTATTTTATCTGGGATTGGTTATAAAATAGCTAATAACACAAAAGAAATTGATGGAATATCGAATAGGGATTTGGGTTGAAATTTAAACGTCATAGCTATAAATAACCTTTTAGCCTAGCGGTTAAAATTAACTAAAACATTACAGAATAGACCCTATCCAATAATCAGTTACAAGCACTACATTAACTACATAAACAAGACAAGAAGGGTCACTTCGCGTCGGTACTTTGAAGTTATTCCTACAGAACCCTAGTAATCAAGTCGTCCCGTGTCGTCTAGTCTATTTAAGGGGGCACTTTGTTGGGCGGCGGCCAAGTTACTTCTCGATCTACTGATACGGGGGTTAATAGAAATGAATTTTAGTATCGATATAATTTAATTATCTATTAAACTGTTCAACATAATTTTTTCTTTTTGTTAAAATAAGACAATGAATGTTATTGGTTCCTTTGAATATAAAATAAAAACAAAAAGTATTTTAAACATCAAAACTGAGTATCTAGTAGTGTTTCACAATATAACATTAAGCAACCATTTTTGATTAAAAAATTATTGTTTCAACTTTTTAAAAAATACAATAGGTATATTTAATATTCCATATGTATTCTAACATAATACATTTTTTTAATATTATTTTAATATATTATAAAGCAAGTTATTATTCTCACTTGGGTCCCAAGAAATAACGGGGTAAAGGGCTCAAACACTCTTTATGGGACCTGAGGCGTTCTGCGGTAACAGCAGCAAAACAATATTAGGAGAGATTGAAAAAGAATTGGGCAGTAAAAGAACCGTTAATTGGAATAATCTCATTTCTATGTATATTTTAGTAACATTTATCTTTTTGTGTTTGAATAGAGGCATCTTTGTGCTCTTTAACATCATCTAAAATATTAAAATAGGTGTAAAGATTAATCTATCTACAATAATACAACCGTTTTTTTAATGGAAAAATTTGGCATGTTAAAATTTTTAAATGCTTCCAGCAATTATAAAATTAAATTCTCAGATATTCAGCATGCTAAAAATTAGTTAAATCTATAGCATATAAAGTTCATGTAATTATCAGGTTTGGAATTAGTAACACGAAACGAGATAAAAAAATTGACACAACTATTTCCATTAAAAAATAAAAAAAACTTTTAGTACACCATTTTATAAAGCAGACAATACACAAACATTCATTATTTGTAATTAGGAACTTACTATTTTTCAACAAATTCAATGAGGGGGAACAGCATTACGTTGTAGATGAGTTTTCCAATTGTTTCATATTATAACTCTCCCTTCAGGAAAGTGCAAATCGCAAATTTTTATTTTACAACATTGTTCCGGGGTTAAATTGGCATATTTATGGGTACCTACAAACCCTACAACACACGTTTCCAATTTTCACACCTAAAAAATCATTAAAATTTTATCAAAACTGAATCTTCGACTATAAGTTAATAGACAAGGTAGTTAATGCAAACTATCTTACATATCTTTCTCTTTCGGGCATCGAAAAAATACTTAACACATCATCGGCATTTTTATATTTTTAAGATACAACATTCGCACACAACACTTATTAATATAGCTGTTATATTTAAATCTCCCCGCAGGAATAATACTATGGAAATAACGTCACCAATCAACCACAATCATTATTGTTTGTTTAATTATCAAACACACTGGTATATTCGATCGCCAATTTTCTCGCTCGATAGGTACGATGTATAATTATTGTTCTGTCACAGCGCGCCCCCAAATACTGAAAACGGCCAAAATACATCAAGGAAGAGAGGCATCAGAGAGTGAGCGAGACAGGCAACATTGGGGAAGGAGCTTAGAGTGACCCTTCTTGTCTTCGTTTATGTTCGGTGATTAAGTTGAGTAAATCAATGTTCCCATAAACAGCTAGACACAACGCAGTTTTAGATAATGGTATTAGACCATTCACGACTGTCTTCAATTACTAGGCAACATTGTCACTTATCAAACTAGGTAGCATCTAAAGTTTAAAAACCGCAAGTGAAATATTTTTTTTCTCGAAATCGGTTGTGAATTAAACCTATGTATACATCAATTTCTTAAAAAAAGGAAAATTTCCCATAATACTAGTCTTATTCGGAAATTCCAATTGTTTTTAATTGTCGCTTGTCATTAATATCACATCACGTTAGGTGGAAGGTGCCATGTACATTGTTCATTATTTATTTATTGTGAGAATGAGCTTGTATAAATAGTACATTTAATTTTTAAATAAAACTGTCTGATGATAGTTAAAAAGAGATTGAATTTTCAAATACGGTTGGTATTTCTGTGTCAGAGTGTTAGTGTATATTGATAATCATTTGATCTGGATGTTTAACTAAAGTTGAATTTTGTAGAGCGGCGTCGAAGAATCCGTGACGTCTAGCGATTTTGACAGATTCCTGGCCGAACGAGCAGCGGCCGCCGAAAATCTACCCACGATAGCATGTTCGACGAATACCAAATCAACCAATTCCACCAAAGATAAAAAGGCGGATCTATCGGCTGCATAATTTCCTTATTTTATGTATAAATACATAAGAGTCTGAAAAATTACAATGCCCCTAAGTTGAGACAGAATGCTGATGTTGATGATATTATCAGGTAGTTCTTCAAAGAAATTCTTTTTTTTTTTTTTTAATTTATTTCTTAAATGGGGAAAGTCTCCTCTATTTATTTTCATAAATTGATAAACTAATACATACAATTTATGTTGAGTAATCGCTTCTGCTATAACTAGAAAGGCAACATTGAACAAGACTGCTTTTCTTCTATGCACCCGATTAAGATTATATCAGTAGAAAATACAATGGAAATTGTTTTTTATATTTTCATCAAAGCATTACACACTTCTCTTGTTGAAGTAATAACGTTTTTTTCTGCATAATTCCCAAATCAAGTTGGTAATCGATTAGAAACTCCAATGTCACCAAGACCTTCCTATCAGTTAAAATAACAAATCTCAATGTCAAGCAGTAAAAATTTATTAAAAGGTTGTGAAATTGGTACAAAAAATAAAAAATTATATTTCATATTTTTCCACAGCAATGTTTTACTGTGGTATATTTGGTACAATCCTCATATTTTTGGGTTCAAATCTATGGCTACCTTCGAGCATATTTATTACATATAGACACCATTCAATAAGATTTGTTTGGTTAAAAATCTAAAATATAAATTAACCGATTTTTGAATAAATGGACCTTGTTAAAAGATTTCTATTTAATCTTTCGAGTTTAAAAGTTGAATCCTTAATTTTAAATGCTTTAAAATAAGTTTTACAATTTGTACTGGTTGTACATTATATCAGTACAAAAAACTGAATCCCGGTAAATTTCGCTTGATTTGTCTTCTGTTAAAACATTAAAAAATATTTAAAAAGCTTTACAATTATGAAGTACACCCACATAGTTTGGAACTGACTGGATTTTTTTATTTCTGATTGTCACAGTTAAAACAGTTTCCACCATGTTCTCTTATCTTACTAAATATTTCAATATGATCTTAAATGTATAATTTCCTTTAAATACAAATGTATTTTTCTACACTCTCATGTATAATATCTATTCTACGCACAGACTACAGAAGTAAGAGATTACGTTCTACTGAATTGATATAATTTTATCCATTCTAGTAAGACTGTACAATATGAAATCCACCAATCACACTTGGTGACCAGGCTATTATTTAAATTGTTTTTTAAATAAGTAACATTTCTATCAAACTAATTCAGTTTTTTTTTTTTTTTTAGTTGATATTAAATATAATTGAAAATGAGTAATTATTGTGAAGAATCGATAAAAATAGCCATTCCACAAGATATTCTTCTAAGAGTATATTTACAAAAAAATCGTAAATTTTAATAAAACTACCTTCAAATAAAATGTATTTAAAATAAATAAACAACAATAGACGTATTTTTTCAATTTTCATATTATTCCAGAATAGAGAAAAAGAAAATTTGCTTTTATCGGGAATTGAACCCGCGTTGCGAAATCTAAAGTTGAACCCTTAACGATCTGAGCCATGAGGCCTTATGTGAATTATCCAATCAAATATGTGTATAAACCAGAAAAAAAAACGAAAACAAACATATTGTGATTACTTTTAAATTATTTTAATAAATATCTAGGATCTAGGTATAAAAATTAATGTTAACAATTTAATCATCAAATCGATTTTAATATTAATATATACATTCGCTATATCAAAATAGAAATACGTCTAACATATTTGACAGCTGTTACAGAAAGTAAATTATTAGGACACTTCCCATTAAACTTAATAATGTGATATGTGTCGCTTTCCCTAGTGATCATAGGAAAACTACTATTTCATCTGGATGTTGACTCTATGTACAGTTGTATGCTCGAAGGTGATTACTGTATCTCCCATTAGTTATGATCCACACTGTAGATATCTGATTACTATGAATGTTTGGATAGTTCAAAAACGTGTGTCTACTTAAGTCCGCAGATGGCGCTTCCGATTAAGTTGGCAACGCGTTCTAAAATCTAAATTGTCATTTGAGACCATTCTGTCGGGCGTCAAAATGACAAATTTTAGTTTAAAAGCCCTTTGAATCGATCGAAGCTCGTATATCACCCTGAAATGGTTTGGGAAATGAATTCCGTACCTTCATCGAAGTATAACACGAATCTAAGGTGGAAAAAGGATTGAATTTCTTTTGAAACTGGACCCAAACCACAGGATTCTTTCTCTCAAGAAGTTTTCCGTCTTATTTCTGTTTATTACTTTTTCATAATACATTTATTTTATCGAAAAAATTTACGAAGAACGATATGCTGATTTTTGTGGTTCTGGTGTTTACATTTTTGTTGTATCTTATATATTGCGTATTCTGGAATTATATTTACATAGTATTGGCCATTTATCTTATTTATTCTGTTATCGCCCACATGTATTTTTCCAAATGATTAGAACGATATTAAATATATATTTTCCTTTTTATAGTTCATTATAATTATTGATTTATTTTTTAATTATGTGTATATGTAAAATAAAAACTAATTGTGAATCATGTTCATATCCAAATATCGAATTGGTTGTGTAAAACGTATTTAAATCTGTGATACAGAAACCAAATATAAAAAAAAAGTTTATGAAAAAGGTGTCTGTATTGTCTAGTTTTAGGGATACTGTAAAGTGTGTAAATATAATTATTTACCCTTTAATTTGTTATGGTTTATTTTTTATTAAATATGCTTATCTTTTTCAGTTATAAACAGATAGGCAATTACGATTTATACATGCGATGCGACATTGCCAAACTTTTAATAATTTATTGACATAATTTTTAAATTATTTCCGAATATTAACGTTGGGCAAACATTTTGTAAACAATTTTTTGTTATTCTACCGGGCGACAATGAAACTAGGGCCATCTTAATATGTTATTTATTGAGCTATTTGGATAAAATTTGGAACAAACATACCAGACATAATTTTGACTTGATAACATGATTACACTCTTAAGCATATTTAATAAAAAAACTAAAACAATATTTAAATCAAGTTTATTTGTTGTTGCTTTTATGTGGATGAAAGGGGTATTGTAATTTGTTGTTAATAAGTTTATTTATATTCCTGTACTTATCGTAATTGTGGTACATCCATGAGGTATAGAACGTAATTCAACATCCAAAGAAGTAACTATTTTCTTGTTCGTTTAAAATTGATATGCCTGTTATGGCATAAGAATTATGTGTTGTTATATCTTTCTTGGTGTTAATTCTTCCATTTATTTTAGTCCTGTACGCAACCCTCTTATTTTTTTCTGGTCTTCTATTCTCTCTTGTCATGTTTTACCTAAATCTGTCTCTTTTCTTTTTCCACCTCGAATACTTTTTTAACTTATTTATCTGATCAGATGACATCAGTTTCTCATTTTGAGAATCAGCAGTTTCCACAAAAACGAAAAGTAACATTTTTAAGTATATTGATAAAAACGCTAGAGTTGAAAAACGCAAATTTGAGATTTTCGTTTTTTCTGAATAATTCAAGACAGTCCTGGATATGTGGGATGTGTCCTCATCCTTATTATGGCACCTATCAAAATGTGATTAAACACAACACAAGACAATTATTGGATATTAAAGCCTACTACGGGCAAATGCAATTTTAAATATATATCGAAATCCTTCATACAGTTTAAAAACATCCAGTACATTTTGATGTAGCTCTCGATTTGAGTTGGCATTAATTTTGGAAATTGTGATTAGTGTCTATACCTCATAAAACCATAATATATTTTATACTTAAATATACAAGTAATTTTCAAAAATTAAATAAACCTAATGAAATTAGGTTGATATTTGTTGTTTCATAGTTGTAATTTTTATTTATTTAATATTTTAGTTAATTTTATTCGAGTATTAAGAAAATGGCTTTCAAACGAATATCAAAATCATTTTTTTTGTTAGAAATTTTTAAATTATTTTTATATTAAAAGCTGGTATTATTTTTTACAATGACTTATTTAAAATAAAAAATTCATGAGGTTTGTTTGTTTGAAACTCTTCTTCTAATATTTTTCTGTTTTCAAATCATTAACTAGGTATATATAAACTTTTATTGTAAATAAATCGTATATTAATGTTTATATAATTATAAAGTATATAATATATTGATTGTATTAAGTTGAGATGTTTTCATAATGTAAAAAGCTTAACCAAATAAATGTATTAAGTATAGTTGTATTTGTATTATGGATTGCTGTTAAAAACCTAAAGAAAGAAAAGGAACGTACTTATAAATGCGTTTAATTAGATTAAAACCAACAAATAACCAGCTAAAAACCTACATCATATAAATAAAGTCATATTTATAATTAATTTTTCTAAAATATAATTTTTATTTAACTACCTAAGTTATTAAGTATGTAAAAGTCTAGGTAACGAAACAGGTACAACAAAGAACCAACACAAAAAGTTTAAAATTACTAGAAGCACACATTAATAATGTTGTATATTTATTTGCATAATTACGCTTTCCTTAACTGTCTAATAAAATCTGTCAAATGGCAATTGGCCGGTGCCCAATCTTTGTCATTGTTGTACACTTCAACAGACTTCCTGGTACCGTCTTCCAAAATCACACCTACAATAAAGTAAATAATATAGGGTAATACTGTAACCACCCATGTTATCATAATAACAAATATGAATAACAAGAATTTAATTCACAAAGCATCATTCAATTTACCCACATGTATATCCTTAAAGATGCTATGAAGTTTTTTGAATTCACAGTCATAAAATATCACATTAACAACCACTTGCAAGAATGCTTGTTAAATCTATCAATAACTTAATGACCCCATAACTTTATTAGACTGAACTATCTGAATGACATGAACGTTAAATTATTTAGTCTAATCAATTGTCAAAATTTATCATTCTACTAAATTTTAATGAATGTTCTTGCAAATGACTGACAGGGTCCCATGGAAATTAAAGCAAAGCTGGATTCTACTTTAGACGAGTCTGCTTCATCATTTTTAACAGTCAAAACATGCGTTGTAGATTTTAAACATGGCTATACAAGCACTATGCATACAGAGCACCCAGGTAGGACAAAATAGGCTAAGATGGAAAATATGATCTTGAAAGTCCATAAAATTGTTTTGAGTAACTGTTGATTGAAGTTGGTGGAGATAGCTGAGACTGAGACTAGAAAATGCATTTTTTATTAACAGATCAAGGCTATATGAATTTGTCCAATTCTTGTTTTAAAAATTCGACATTAGTAAAGGTGTAACGTGTGTCTTTATATCCAACTGCTGCAGCAACGTTGACATCGGTGCGGTATCTACATGTCTTTTATTTCATTAATCTATCAGTGATGAACTAACAGTTGATGCAATCGATGCAACACCATTACACCAGTTCAATGTATGGTTTTTCCGATTAGATGTGACAACTGACAGCTATGGATTGCGGGAATTAATCAGAATTAAGGAGTTTATTAATTATTGGTTTTTTTGTAGGAAAACCGAAAAAATGAGATTTTAAAAATATATACGTCCAAATTAAAGTAAATAGGTACATTCAAATAAAATTATAAACACAAATTTTAATCAAAAATGTCAACTGTTATTTATTTCAACGGTTAACCATAAATAAATCGAATCCAACAAAAGGCGTTCAAGGCCGCATTGGCGAAAAAACGATTCCAACAAACCGGTGGAAAAAAAGACACACGTGTAGGGATTAAAATAACAAAGCTAAACTTTTTTATTTTCATGGTCTCTGCAGCTAAACAATCACACATTATTAAAGTTTATTTAGCCTGATGTTCGATAGCTTGGTGAATTAAAATTAAAGTTATAAATTTAAATTAAAATAGTTTTATTGACATAATATTTTATATTTATTCTAAATTCAGTAGACTTAAGTTGAATTAAAAAAATCTTTTCATAGTGGGTGCTTACTTCCTGAACTAAGTAAACTTTCCAAAGCTATAATAGATAAGTCAGTAACTCATATACTTCTCTTTATATAGAAATATAGATGGATAAGGAAGTGAATAAGGTTCAAAACTATTAATAGTAGGCAATGAACTCCAATAATTTAGAAGCTATTGTTGCATTTTTCTCTTATTACTCTCTATTTCATCAAATTTATTAAATGAATGAGTGTTATTTCCAGATGCCCAAAAAGTTCCAGTTATAATTCCTAATATTCCACAATGTTGTACACCATAAAAAACAGTCCTACTTTGGGTATATTTAATGCTAAATTAAAAAGAATTTTGTTGGAACTGCCAGTTTGTAATATACCTTGATTAGTTTATCATTAATAATATTATTATTATAAGTTTTAGTGTAGGTGCTCTGGTATAAAAAAAGGTTGCCAAGCTTGTAAAAAAACCTTAACATTTATATTTTTGTATAAACCATGTCTCTTCCAAAGATAAAAGACATTTGCTGTAAAAAAAGACATTTTAAACTTTAAAAAGTCACAAGGACATGTTGTGACATTCCTTTTTTTAAATAATTTTGGGAGCTTTGCTAACACATCAAAAGCAGTTTACCATTAGGAAAATTGGTAATAGGAGTGTTTTGTACTAGATTAATAGGGAAACAAGACAGTTTTTGCAAATAGGTTTGGGACATTTGAAACATTCAAATATTTGGTGGATTTTAGGCATTCTTCCTCTAGATATGGAGGAGAAACTGACATATTCCATGGACTGTTGTTTTCAGATTAAACCTGACAAAATTGTGGACTAAAACTGTTAAATTTGTAGGCAATTTTTTCCTATATAGTGATAAAATTGAATCATTAGTCATCAATATGAAATATGTTTTTGCAAAGGAGTGTAAAAGTTTATATGGTTAAGATAATTATTAAATAGTTGGTTAATATTATATTATTGAACAACAAAAATACAGTAAAGTTGTAGGAAAGGTATGTACTTAACGCACATGCTGGTCGCGCTTATGTAAATGTTATATTTATCGCGTTGTTGCCACGTTGTAATTTTCTATTTCCTAGGTATGTAATATAATTTTTGTAGTTTCTATTCATTTTTTAATTCAAATTCAATAATTCATTTTATTCTTTTTTACATAACTTTTTTTACCATAAAGCAAGTCCTCCAATCTATTGAGAGGAAGAAAACTTTCAGCCAAAGGTATTTCTGTCGCCGTGACTAGCAGTACATCGGATGTACACGACCTTCGCCCCCACCAGAAACTTTAAATCCATACCTGGCTATGCCGACTGGCATAAACACCAACGGCCTGGACACAGCTCACCTACTCTGTCAAAAGGAGACCGATGTACAAATAAAACGCGTGCATCCGATGTACTGCTAGTCACTGTCTATTTTTGTTTATATTTATTTGTTTTTTTACTTAGATATTATTTATTAATAATATAAAAGTAGCAATCTGGCAACGTTGTACAGTTATACTGTCATAAAACCAGATTATTCATATGCGCGGCCCAATGACATATATAGTATATATAGACTGCTTATCCATATGTAAATAAAGCGATGAAAAGCGGGTCGAACTGGGAGATGTTTTCTCTTTGTCTAGTACATGCAATGTTTGTGTTTTGTCTCATTTGTAAGTGCTCACTGGTAAACAAACCTTATACAGAACCGGTTTAGAAGAAAGTTTAGTTTAATTGAAATTTTGTTGTCACTGTCATTGCTCAGTCAAACATTTTTTTGAATTGTTCATTTTATTAAATTTTAATTATACTTATGTTCTGTTTTAAGTTTTTTTAATTAATTGAATATAAAAAATTGTTTTGTTTTTGAATTTAAATGGCGAATTGCTCTATAAACCTGCTCTATAAGATAAGCTATAGAAATATAAAAAGTAACATTTTATTTATCACCTAAGTATCAATACAAGTAGTTACAAGGTAAATACATTTATGAATTATAATAATGATAATATTAATAACAAATTCTTTATTGTAAATACATTTACATAAATATAAATATTATATTCAAAGGCCCGAGTTTTTTTTTCTCCTGGGCTCGTCTGACTTGACTATGTGTCTCCGAATAACACTGAATATTGGCTTATTTTTAAGTTTTATTTTAAATTTCTTAATATTAAATGAGCCGACATGTTTTTAAGATTTGACGACTTAAATCATTCAAAATACGACACTTACATACTTAAATAGAATATGTAAAAAAATAGATGTAATTTTTTGAATCAATTTTGTGCATAATAAAAAAGTTTTCAATTTTTTGCAAACTTTAGTATTGCCCAGAAAGAACTGCGATACCTTTATAAAGAGCTAGCACGCCTTAAATTCTACTCTATTTACGCCAACAGATGAAATATGCCTGACAAAAAGGATTATATCCTTAAAGAACTCTGTTTTGTAGCTCCTAATTCTGAATTAGAAAAACATAAGTAAGCTGCAAGCTATAAGTAGTGCGAGTTTATTAATCATGTGTGTAAAAGAGACATTTTAAATTTAAATTAGAAAGAAATAAAAAAAGAATTTGTTAGAGGGTTTATGGCATGTTATTCCTAGAAAATAACTGCATACTTGCAGAATTAACAAGGAAAGACAAGTTGATCTAGCAGTTTAAAAGAAAATATAGAATAACAGGTTCTCGGTGTTATGATCTTAATACTTACACTAAAGACACTCCAAAAATGATTGTAAACAGATAAATAAAGTGAACTTTTATTCATATTAAATCCTTTATATGAATACATAGACATTTAAAAAAAATGGTTAATGGTTAACAAGATATTTAGTATTATATACTGTGTTAAATTGATATGTTTTAGATTTGTTCTACATAGAATTGAGCATGAAGGTGAGGCTCGACAGACATGCATAAATGCAACTAATGATATTATTATTGTAGAGGAGACAGGGTTGATTATTTCAAAAATAAACATATTAAAATAATAAACAATAAAGGTGAACTCATAAAATTATTAGAAATCAAATGTCCATTTATAGGTTTGTTATTTTGTACATTATTTTTATAATATTATCAAGAATTATGCATTTTTTGTTACATTATCAAATACTTAAATACACTTCAAAATCGTACATTTAGGAAAGTA